GGAAGTACAGAAATAGCTTGATTGGTTATAGCTGGGCATCTGCCTTCTTTTGACCTGGTCTGATCAGTTAACTGATCAAGTTTTGCTTTCTTTATCTACTAAGGTTGCGTAGGAATTCAGAGTATAGACAGCCTGAGGCCAAATTTAATTTAATAATGGGCAAGTTAGTTGGCGGTGCTTTTATTTTCTAATCTGTCAAATGTTTTGTTATATTTTGTTTTGTTTTGTTTCCTTAGCTGATAGGTTTGTTGTAAGGTCAAATAATATAATGCTTCTCATGATGTTATTTAAACTATAAGGTCAAGTTCACATATGAGGTGCCGATTGTGGTATTTGGTAATGATGTACTATAATGTTTCCTAAACAGTATATACTGCATCTACTCTGAAAAGATGAGTGGAAAAATAATCTGTAGGATTAACCAGGAAAAATAATGTATAGGATTTTTATAATGTCTCTGTTGTTATTAATATTCAGATAAGTAATCCGTGGATAGGTTGAATTCTACCCTTCTATGGTGTTTAATTGTTTCCTTTCTTTGTTTCAGTTACTGGTTGTTGGAGGTTCTTTTGGTCTTCGTGAGTTTTCACAAATCCGATATGATGCTGTGAAGATTAAGGTAAGAACTATAATTGGAGTCAACATGGGTCTGTGTGTGTGTATGTTCTGGTTTAGGAGAATTGTATACTCAGTATACTAAGCATTCTGAGTTTCTCTTGCTTTTCAGAGTTAATATATGATCTTTGTGCTCTTTCCTTTCTCTTTTTTTTTTGGTTTTTTTTTTGAGACAGAATCTTGCTCCTTCACCCCAGCTAGAGTGCAGTGGCGTGATCATAGCTCACTGCAAGCTCAAACTCCTTGGCTCAAGCAATCCTCCTGCCTCAGCCTTCTGAGTAGCTGGTCCTATATGTGGGCACCGTGATGCCTGGCTAATTTTTTTATTTTTAATAGAGACACAGTGTCGCTGTTGCTCAGGCTGGTCTTGAACTCTGGATCTAAGGCAATCCACCCACCTCCGCCTCCCAAAGTGCTGGGATTACAGACATGAGCCACCATGCCTAGCCTTTGTGCTCTTTCTTAATCTTTAAAATAACATTAATGATCCTATGAAAGTGAATCATAAAATGTAAAGAATTTAGTAATCTTTCTTCTTATTTATTGGAAAATTTATAATATTGTTAGCTTTCTCCCACAAAATATGATCTGGTCTAGCTGTTTTTAGGATTTAGAAGGGACTAAAGAACATGGGTCAACAATTTCACTTCATTTTATCTCTCCAATTATTAATATCAATTAGCTGTTTCATATTAATATCAGTAATTTTATAAAGTATATTGATATGTATCTTCAATAACTGTTACTAAAAGAAAGGAATGTGATTTTTCATTATAAATAAAGATACCTATCTTTTTATAGTGTCTACTTTGTGGTAGGACTATACTCATTCATATATATATATATATATATATACTTATATATATGTATCTAAGTATATGTATATGTACACACATGCTCAGATGCTCCTTGACTTACAGTGGGGTTACATTAATAACCAATAAACTCATTGCAAGTCAAAAATGCATTTAATACCCTGATAAACTGATTGTAAAGTTGAAAAATTGTAAGTCAAACCACTGCAAGTTGAGGACCATCTGTATATTACTGTCATTATATTACAGGTGAGGAAACTGAGACTCGGAAAGCTTAACTAGCTTGCCTAAGGTCACGTGGCTATTTAGGGGTAGAGCTAAGATTCTTACCCTCTATGATTACACAATTACTGAGAAATTCAGGCCAGGTATTACATAAAAATTCTGGTGCATTTATTCAGAAATATGTAGTTTTTGTTTGTGGCACATATCTGATATTTGTAGGGTTTTTTTCCAAGTAATATATATATTTCATTAACAGACCTCAGTAATATTGGTGGGAAAGTAAGGAGTATAAAAACCTATTCAATTTTCTCAGTTAATTTTATGGTTTTAGTGAAACCAGCTCTAGCTAATCTTAAAGATAGTAGATATTAGAATAAATATTAAATTTTAAAACAACAAATAGTTGCCATGAGGGAATAGAACAATTTTTAGTTAACTAAACAATTTCAGTTAATAATTTTCAGTTTAACTATGTTAAAAGGTTTCAGTTAGCATCCCAATTACTTTATGAAGGAATTTTTTTTCTTTCCCTTTAACATAACAGTTATGGTAATCTGACATTTAGAAGTGGGAGAACACATGTATTTGAAAAATAATTGAATATTTATCACATGTTAATCATTTGTTAGAACCTTCAGATAAAGTGTCAAGAAACTGGTTCTTAAAGCTTATAAAATAATCAAGGCTGGAAGACATCTAAAAAAAAAAATAGTACCCAAACATATAATATAGCAATATCCAGTAAAATGCCATTACTAGAACTTTAAGGAGAGGCATAGAGATTAGACTTGGGAAAGGGGAATCAGAGAAGGTTTGCTAAAGGTATCAACCCTTAAATGGGTCTTTAAGAATAAGTAGGAATTAGCTAAATAGTAGAAATGATTTATATTCTACAAGGTAGAAGGAGTATTGGGTCTATGGTCAGAGTTTTATTTTAGAACTCTCTCCGGCAGTGGAGTACAGAATGGATGGGAATTGGGGGAGCAATATAGAAAGGGAGAGATTGTTTGGATTGGAAATAAAGAGACCTGTTAGGATTCTGGGACAGTAGCACAGAAGAACAATAATGGAACCTGAAATAAAACATTTGCAATGGTGATAAAGAGAAATAAATGGGTTCCAGGAAAATTGTTTTTGCAGCAAATTGATAGTATTTCATGATTGATGTATGTAATATAAAAATATGAATAAATCTAGGATGACTCAAAGTTTTAGTTTTGAGGACTGGATAACTGGTGGTGCTAATCACCCACTTAACGAGAATGAGGGAGGTTGAGATAACAGGCGAGGTCTAGAAGACGGAGAGAAAGTAAAGAGAACAAGGTTAGGTAAGGTCAAGAGAATGAAGCTGATTGAAGTTGAGAGGACAAGGTAAGTAAAAGTCAAGAGAATAAGGTTAAAAGAATGAGATTGGTCAAGGTCTAGAGGAGGAGGATGAAAGAACAAGGTTGAGGTGAGAAGAATCAGAAGACAAGGCCTACTAAGAGTCAGAGATTGAGGTTGGTTCACTTTCAGAGGTCAAACCCAGGTGAAGTCCAAAGTCAGTGTTTGGGCAAGGTTGAGTTCAAACAAGGTAGAGAGGATGAGGTAGGCTAAGGCTGAGTAGAGTTGAGAGGGTGAGTTTTGTCCTTAACGACTGAGAGGATAGGATTGGTTGAGATTGACAGCAGCTGCAAGGATTGAGAGGTTGAGGTTAAGTGGGGGCTCAAGAAGGGTAGATTGCTGAGTCAGGAGGGGTTGAGACTGGGGTCTAGAGGACAATGTTGACTTAGAAAAATCAAAGGAGGATAAGTTCTGTTGAGAAATTTGGAGAAGGGTGGAAAAAAGGCAGTATTGATTTGGGGTGAGCATCCATCATAGTTTGCTTGAGACTGTCCTGATTTTAGTACTAAAAGTTTGGCATCCCAGGACAGAAAAATTCCTGCTTTTCAGTGATGGGTGTGAAAGGTTCAGAGGAAAGTAAAAGACCCATAAAGCAGCCTAAAAAAATAAGGGCTAAAGCAACAGCTTTCAATTTTTAATGTGAAATGGGTATGGCATAGTTTATCTGTGGTTTGTAGTGGCTATTTCTAGTTTTTTTCCTGGTTGCTGATACTGATAGCTAGGTATCCGCAGTAATGGATGACCTATTGTTGCATCACACCAAGTGAGGTCATTTAAGTGTGCAGTTTAAGTACATTGCAGTTGTGAGCAGTAACAGTCTGACTTTGCCCATCTGCCCATATGTTGTGCTGTGTAAGAAAATAGTGCTAGTTTAATTTTTTTCTTTTTCTTTTTCTTTTTTTTTTTTTTTTTTTTGAGACAGGGTCTTGTTCTGTTGCATGGTCTAGAGTGCAGTGAGTGCAGTGCTGTTTTCACAGCTCACTGCAGCCTCAAACTCCTGGGCTGAAGCTGTCTTCCTGCCCCAGCTTCCTAAGTAGCTGGGACTACAGGTGCACACCACCATGCCTGGCTAATTTTTTAAAAAATTTTTTGTAGAGATGGAGTCTCACTACATTGCTCAGGCTGGTCTTGAACTCCTCCCACCGCAGCTTCCCAAAGTGGGAGGGATTACAGGCATGCGCCAGTTTTTAACATTATAATTTTTTTAAAAAAATATTTTTTGTTATATTTTTTTGGTATCAGATGTGTTGAATAATATTCTAAATATTATGACCATGTTTTGTAAAATTCAGATAATGAAAATAAGAACGATTACAACACCAATGTCAATATGATCCAGACATCACTGAAAAAGGAAGCTAAATTACTCTTATTTTAATGACAGATGAAAGGACACATACAACTGGATTAGGGAGTTAAATAACCAAAACAGAGCACACTGCACAATACACAGAAAAGAAATTGAGATTGGGCATGGTAGAGACAGGGATGTCAAAACACATGTGAAGACTGAATCTCACAGGTCCAGAATGAGACAGGGAAGTATTTATAAATTGATCATTAAGTTTACCCATTTCCCCTCTAAACACTAATACTGTACTCAGACTAAAATAGCAGCTGCTGAGTTTGCTTCTGCATACCATCCAACAAGAACATGTATTATTATAATATATTGTTTCCCTTAATTATTTTATGAAACTGAGTAAAGTTACATTTTTCTGATTTAGAGGTTAGAACTAACCTATCCTGTGGGTGAACAAAAGGGAAATTCTGGTAACAGATCTGTTGACCCCCTACAGTATATAGTCGATTCTCTTAAATATTACCAAGGATCATGCTTTCTATAGTATATCAACTGATAAATTGAATCATGATAACAGATATGTCCACCTTAATTCTTAGGCACTCTGATTTGGAAAATAGTGGAGTTTTAAATTATCTTTTGATTTCTTTGAAGATTTTAATGAAACCACAGAAAATGTAATACAAAAAATGGTTCATATCTTGTCAGTTGTTACTTTGCTCAATCTTCTTTCTACTTCCTTTTTCTTTTTATTTCAAAATATTATAGGGGTATAAATGTTTTTGTTACGTGGCTTGAATCAGGGCTATAAATGTGCCCCTTACCCATAAAGTGTTCATTGTACCCGTTAGGTGGGTTTTTACCCCTCCTCTCCTCCCATCCTCCTCTGCTTGATTTCCAATGACTTTTACTTCCTTCTGTGTACCTGTATGTCCATTGGTTAGTTCCAGTTTATTAAAGTACATGTGGTGTTTGTTTTTCCATTCTTGAGATACTTCACTTAGGTCTTCAATTCCTTCCAAATTGCTACAAAAGGCATTAATTCATACTTTTTTATGGCTAGGTAGTATTCCATGGTATACATATATCACATTTTGTTAATCTACTCATCAATTGATGGGCTCTTGGGTTTATTCCACATCTTTGCATTTGTGAATTGTGCTGCAATAAACATTCGAGTGCAGGTGTCTTTTTGATAAAATGACTTCTTTTTCTTTAGTTAGATACTCAGTAGTGGGATTGCTGGATAAAATGGTAGATCTACTTTTAGTTCTTTGA